GCTCTCTTAAGGTATCATAATGTACATGCCATGTCCAATGTCAAACGCCCGAGTTATTTCCTTCTATGTCTCACCTCTTAACCAGCCAGGGCTGCTTCTTTATTTTGTTCAGCCAATTCTGTTTGGTATCGAGTCGATGCGACCTCCAGGGCATGGAGTGTAGGACCAAGAAGTTGGTTCACCACCTTCTGGCCTCCCTCCACGCCTTCTAAGTTGACTCGTAATTTTCGCCCGGTGCTCTCGTACATGTCACGGGCCTGTTTCTTTAGCCGGTCAACTTCAACTTTACGCTCAGCCTCTGCGTCATTAGCAACAGCCTTAATGCGCTCTGTTGCTCGTTGAAGAGACTCTGCTAAGGACGCGACCTCTCCGGCGCGGTCGGGGTTACCGGAGAGAAACGCCTGCCAGAACTGGTGCAAAAACTCCGTGGTTGTGGCGTGAGTCAATGTCAAGCGGTCAAAAAGCGTTGTCGACAGCCCATATGTTTCTGATGCTGCGCGTTCATTCATCTGGGCACGGCGCTCGCGCAATGCTTCCAGGATCTGAGAAAATGCATCGTGTAGAGCGGCAGATGACCCAACAGGTCGACGGCTAGCAGGTGCATCCTCCATCTCCTCGTCTTCATCATCGCCAGGGTCCACCAATTTGCCCAGTTGCGTATTGCCCTGCGATGGGAGATTTTGATTGATCTCCGCACGGATAATCTGAAGAAGCTGATCCGGATCTTGTTTCGCAAATTGATTGGTCTTATCCTCCTCTTGGCCATGAGTGAAGAACCGACTTTGATCACGAATGTTCAAAGTGATGCGACTTTGCTCTTCGTCTCCACGAAGATCTTGTAGCTGGAGCTTTTTCCATGCCTCTTCGTTGATTCCGATAGGGGCACTCATATCACCGTCGGCCGGAGCCACATTAGCCATGATCTTTTCACTCAGGCTGTTCAGTGTCCGAATAATGGGTACTTTGTCGACGCCAGATGGTCTCATGTCCAGGTCAGGTCTGTTTCCGCCACGCTGGCTGTGGTTTCCTTCATTGCCAGCAAGATCCAAAAAGTGATGGATATTTGTGTCGCGGTCCGGCTGAGCGGCCTCATTTGTTTGGAGGTATTTGTCCAGCACGGCATCGGTTGCGTCGGCCTCTGTAATCCGCTCTCCGCGCAGTTTTTTGAACAGCCGACTCTGGAAAAATCGTGACCAGAATTGTTGCTCGCTGAGTTTCGGCACATTCTCGTCATACACGCGTTTGACCAGTGAGTGTTGTGTGAAGATGAGTTGGATCTGCTCTTTGCTGATATTCAATCGTGTCACGTTATCCTCGACTCGAGGCTTGAGTGAGGATAGGACATTATATGAGCCACGGATTTGGCCCTGTTCGATTGCATGCGCTCGCAGTAAATGCAGTCGTGTGGACCAGAACTGTGATACGAACGACGCAGATGACAAGGCTTCCGGTTTTGTATGCAATCCCTCGAAGAACATTCGCTGCAGATTTGAATCAGATCTTAATAACGATTGCTGCAGCTCTATGTCGGACCGAAGCCTATTCTCCTCGTCCAAGGGATTTTTCGATGTCGCGGCGGATGTCACGGCGTTTGCAATCGCCATTGCCGCAGATAAACCCTCAGATATACCTCTAGGGCCCGGTGTCTGGGATGGTGTGCCCGACTTTGCTGCATTGACCCGAGCACTCAATGTGTCTTTAATGAGATCGGCCTGTGGACGGGCGTCTGCTCCGGCTGTGAACAGGAAGACATACTGATCCGGGGTACTATTTGGAGGCGCATCGGGGGCTTGGGCAAATATTTTGAGCATCACTTTCGGGTTCGACGCTGGGGTCTGCTGTAAATCTAGCAGTCGCGCGAGTCAGCAGAGATAAATGCACGGCCATGGAGTGACGACATACTAGTGATATTGACCACAGGGATTGTGATCGTGTTCCCAGCCCCTGCCACTGCAGGACTCCATGAGACCGAGTTCTCATCGGCAGATATAGCTATGGTTCCATCTTTCTTCTTGTAAGAGGCCGCTCCGCTCGGAGGTGACATCGTCGCGTGTGGCTTCCACTGTCTTCAAAGGCGACAACGAATCCACCCATCGGGATGAGCAGTTCCCCAAGGGCGGAAGTTAGCGAGGATGGTCGGGGACCTTCGTGATAGACAGAGCGCGTAGAGGTGAAACCAATAACGAGAAATGCGGCTCTTCTGCGAGTCATCACATGACGTTTGCCAAGCGTCACCTGGGAGCCAAGCCCTAAGTGAACGAAGCTCAGTTTCATTTGTGAAGTTTGAACGATGTAGATAATTTGAAATATTTATTGAGTCTATGTTTAATCTGGTATTTTTCTATCTCTTTGTTGAAAAAAGAGCCCTGTTAGAGATGTTGTTTTGTGTCCAAGCCAGCGTCCCTTTTTCAGTATATCGGATTCGTGTACCATTCCCTTCAAATGAGATAATATAATGAAGGAAATATGTATCTCTTGATCGATCTGACATTTCTAGAGGGAAGGATGTTACTCAACTAAAGTATATACGTGGGATTTTATTCAAAACGCTTGCCTTCGATACATACTTGGATTAAAAATAGTGAGCTATCTGCACACCATAACCTTACGACAGGGGGCTTTTAGTTGCCCGTAGCATTAGCCCAAGCACAATCTCAACAATTTAAACATCAATCATGAAAATAAGTCCCAAAAAGAGATAGAAGAAGTGACCCCAAACAACCTAAGCCCCAGCTGTTTACTTTGCACTTGACAGGACCTCCACCTGTTTCATGAATAATCCGACTAGACCCATCCTTCCAAAGCCTGCCATTCCGAGCTGATTGCCTTTGGGGGCGAAATGAGGGTATCTCTCCGGTTGCTGTCCACTTTGATCACCGCGAATTGATCACCGCGGAAGACATAGTAGAGATCCTGACCACCAGGGCTCGGAACAATAGCATCAACACAATCAAAGCCAGCCTGAACAAGACTTGGCCAGCCCTGTGCAATAGGTGCAACTTTATTGACGATCTTGTCGGTACTGTTATCCAGGCGAACATAGTTCAGGCCGTTGAAAAAGTACATCTCATTCTTTGTTCCTGGAGTGAGCATTGCTGCATCCACGGTGTCAAAGCCGGCTTGCACGAGCGATTTCCATCCAGAGGCAATGGACATTGCGCCCTCCTTGATAAAGCTATCGTCGTAGTTTTCAAGCTTGATTTTGGCATATCGTCCTCCAAAGAAAACGTAAAGCTGGTTTTCGTGGCCGGGTACAGGCACAATAGTGTCCACTGTACCAAAGCCCATCTTGGGCAGAGTGTTCCAGCCTTTGCTTAGGAGGGTCGGGCCCGCAGCAAGCTTATGCTCGGGGCCTCCCTGGCCGAACCTGACGCGACCATAATGCCGGCCAGAGAAGATATAGATCTCTTCTTTTCCGGCAATGCGACAGGCGGCGTCAACCATTGTGGATGAAGATAGTCGATGGGAATCTTAGAAGGGTAAAAGTGGCTTTGTTGTTGTCGATAGACAGAGAACCAATTGCGTATAATGTAAATCTTCAGACTAGAGGTTGATATCGTGGTATTTATATCAATCCACCCTTGGAATTTGGGCTTCTAGCCAAAGGCTCATATGACCCATTCCTTGCCTGTACGATGATAACATTTGAAATGGCCCGTTTGTATAATTGAGATCGAATACCATTCACTTCATGTTGTCCTACAGCTAGACTGGAGCAAAAGGCATTGGCTTTTGATCTTACATATGATTTGCACTACACCGCGTCGAACAAAATCTGTGATATTCGTTAATACAAGACATCAATCATCTCATCCAATCAAGAACTCTCAGCCATATGCTACATTGGATAATCCTTAAGGCTAATTCACATTGATCTCGCTGCCAATTACTGAAGATGTCAATGCTCCAGCAGAAATCTACAGCTATAGTTTTAGCTATAGCGTAAGCTTTATCAGACATACGTCTCTAACTAAACAGCCCGAGCTCTCTAGAGACGCATATCTTGTGCTCCAAATGCAAATAGCAATATAGCTAACATTGAATGTCCCGTCCCGTCAAGTTGTACCAAGGAGGACCAAGGGTATAGATGTGCAGTAATAGCCTCTCGGTTTAGAAGGATCAAGCCTTACTCCACAACCCATGCAAATGAAGACATGCAGTACCTTATCATACAACGACAAAAAGTGCGAAGACCTATGAATGCACTTCCTCGCATTGGATCCCTCGGACTCTGTAGCTCACACTAGTAGTTACTGCTTGAGCCACCTGTCTGTGTGTAACGTCGAATGTTGAAACCAGAGAACTAGCCTTCCTCTGTGTGTGAGCCGGATATTGATAAAGGGCTGGGCATAGGAAGATGAGGATAATGGTAATGTTCGAAGGATAAATCAAAGTAGCAGTCTTCTAGATAGTTAAGCAGGACAGTGTACATTGATTTGTTCTGATATTATACATTCATATTTCCAATGGGACTAAGATATTTTGATTTCTATAGTATTACAGTCCCATAATTCCTATAGGTCTTGTTCGAATGTTTGCCCTTCAGTATTCTCGAGCACCATAGCTCTCTTGGTGTTAGCATCTCTCTCCATTTATCGCCACATTCATCAAGGTCCTTGTTTTAGTTTCCGACAGGTCTTCATTGGGGATGTTGTGTTTCATGTCTTAGGTCGGGAGTTTCTATATAAAGATTCGTAGTGGATATAGATAGCAATGGCTTCTAATACAAGGAGAAAGGAGATAGAGAGAGCGAATACGTCAAGAGCACCTATTGAAAGGGAATATTTGATAGATAATTCAAACAAAATGATCCAGTCGTACCAATCAACTGTGGTACTGTGGTCATGTGGAGTATTTTCGAGAGATGCCGAAATTTCACCGTAGATGTATGTGCCATTGACAGGGTCGATAAATGGCAAATATCCTCCCTTCTACTTGAACATCTTCGCCAACTTCTTTTTGCGCACCTCCCTGAGTAGCTCCTCAAACACAGGTCTGATTTACTCCAGAATTGCTTTCCGAACTGCACGCTTGAGCACTTTTTCGTTGTCATTATAGTCCACAAAGTCTGCCTCTTCCAGCACTTTCTTCAGCTTAGCGTCGAAAACTGTCATCAATGATATTTCATGATCAGGAATTTGGTGTTCGTAATCGCCTTTGCCTATCGAATCGAAAAGGCTCTCCGTTGATTTGTTTATCACCACCACAAGTAGGTTGAGGGTGTTCTTCTCTGCTTCGGGGTTGAGTCGGTTCGGCAGTTTCTGTAACACATCCATGTAGACAGTCACCCCCACTCGCACAGCCATTGCACGCATACGTTTGATATCCTTGTAGTAGTCTTCGTCTTCAGGAACTTTGTTAGTATCAGGCTCATAGGTACTTGGGTAATTTCGCCGCTTTTGATCTGGGCTTCGGTTTGGCAAAGGTAATTCGTCGATAATCTTACCGGTGAACTCTGCATGTCCAGTAGGGGATAGTAATTTGGCGCCCGGTGGAGTCAAAGCATCGTCAAATGTCGACATGAGCAGCAACACAACATCTTCATAGTCATTTCCACCCCCGCATCCTGTTTTAGACGACTGTGTATATGACTAGCATCAAGGAATATAACAATTGAAAGGCTTCTGAGGATACATACCCGGCCCTCCTTGGTCATACGGAAGAACCTGAAGCGATCACCGTCCGTTGCAAGTGCATATGCAATGTGGTCTTGCTTCCAACGCCTCTGCTCCATATGAAGCCCAACTTTATCCGGTTAATTGTGCCAGAAGTGCCAGAACATGATATACTCACCAGTGAGAGCTATCATCTCCGAGGCTATTCTAGTAGAACCCAAGACATTTGAAGGTCGCATCACAGCCAGGAAATTGATGCCCATATCCTCCATTCCATACCAAAAACCACATTCAGGATGTCCATGTGCGCGCGCCCTAGCAGAACTGGTACAGATACCTATGTAAGAAGACCCAGAGCGAGATTGGAGATCTTGGGAAGATGGCTCGAGCATGTGTCTCTTCATCACTTGGAAGTGGACGGCTGAGAGGAGTGAGTCAACCCGAAGTCTTTGAGATGCTTCATGTTCGGCATGTTCAGGGTGCAATCTCAGCGTATTGAGAGTTTTGACGAAGTCCTCTTGGTTGGATTAATGGGAGTTTCGTGGTGGACTTGAAAGGGGAAACACTACTTACCACCCGAGCAATCGATTGATAGAGCCATGGCGAAGAGTGGCAGCCTAGACGCAGTTCAGTGTAGTGGCTGGGAAAGCAAGAGTTGGATAAGGGGAAGATTCCAGAATATGAGAGAGAGAGGGAGTTGATGAACAGAGAGGTGATGAGGAAGAGAGGGCGAAACCTGTTAAGTTTGTCGCCAGGTAGTTTCCTATTTGGGGGAGACACTTTCGTGATGAGGCACAATGCTACACCAAGTGTTTACGAAACAGCTTATAAGAAATGAAGTAGAGACTATTGATGAGCAGAGTAGTAAAATCCAGATAGATACAGCAACGCCAGTGATATGAGAGTTCAAAAAAGAAAAAGCCAGACACCGCTGAAGAGATCTCAGATGCTATGCAAAACCAAAAGACAAAACGCGACCGAGAGCACGAACCCGAAGCCAGGAGCCAGAATACCGAAATTCGTAAACCATGTTGCGCGCCGCCATGCATAGACCGGATATCATCATTCATGACCGTCAAAAATAAAAGCAATAAAAAAGCAAAGCCCCTCCAATGAAACGCAAACCGTGAAAATGAAGGATATCAAATCAAGGGTATCAGCAAAAGTGATAGAAAGATCCAGCGAAAACGCTTTTTTTGTGAGAACAGAACGCTCATAGTAGATCATTTTTTGAACATGTAGTGGCCGTAGAGGCCGCCGACCTCGCCGACGGCCATGGGGATCTTGCGCATACCCCACCAGCGCGCACCCATCTTCCAATAGCGAGCGCCATCATCGGAGGGTTCGTTGGGCATGGAGGATGGTTCGCGAACGTACCAGCCACGACGGCCGAGGTCTCGCACAGTCCAGCCAACGGATGCGCGCTGAGTCTTGGCACGCTCACGCAGCGGTGTGATGATCTTGTCACTGAACTCAACGACCTGCAAGGGGTAGCTTTGGTTCGAAAGCAAGGAACAAGCGCTGGTGTTGAAGATGGCTCCGATGGTCATCTGCGGCACCTTGGCAAGATCGAGATAGCAGAGAGTGCTGGGGGCATCGATTTCGACTCCCGTGGCTGGGTTGCGGTAGCGACCGAAGAAGGCGTTCACGTCCGCGACTGAGAGATCCGCAGAGCTGAGACCCAGTTCCTCCAAGTACTTGGTCATGGGCACCAAGTATGGTACATGATCCGATGTGATCTTTGCTCCGCCGAGGTTGAGGGAACGTAGGGTATCGGGAAGCTTAGGCAGCAGAGCTGACACATCGGTCTCTTCCAGAAGACGGAAGCGCGTCGGGTCTGTCAACAGGTTCAAATAAACGAGAGACTCATTGACCGACGGGTGGGTGGTGAGGAATTGAACTAGGGCGCACGGACGGAGGCGCGTGCATCGGGACAAGCTCAAATGCGAGATCCGGGCAGTCTCGGGGATGGCGACGAGAGCTGAATCGTTGACTTGAGTGTGGGTAAGGTCGAGGTGCGTCAAATTGACCAATCGCGGGAGGAGGTAGTCGAACATGGGAGCGGGGATAGCGCTGCATTCGTGGAGCGAGAGGCGTTTCAGGTTGGGCATGGTCATGGGCAGCGCAGGTCCACCGACCAAGGCCTCCTGGAAACCCCCGGAGAATGCTTGAGTCGAGCAACCGCAGAAATCCACGGCGCGCAAGTTCGGCAGCCCCATCAAGAGCTTCCGAATGATTTCCACACTGATATCGCCTTCCAGGTGTTCCTGCAGCAGGCATTCCTTCAAGTTGGGGAGAAGTTCCAAGCACTTCAAGAGGGTCTTGGAGGTGAGGTTCTGGATTTCGGCGTTCATCTGCTTAGTGCGACCCAGACCGACGGAGGTGAAGTGGGAGAAGTCCAGACGGCGCACCAATGTCCCCAACGCCGGATACTGCGACATATGATTAAGGGCCTTGGAGAAGATGATGGAGTGCGGGAAAGTCATGTTCCTATACAAGACACCCAAAGTAGCCGCGTGCAACGTGTGGGATGTAAGCAGGCATGAGACCAAATCCACGTTGCGGGGGGCGTAGCCATTCGGTGGAAGATCGACGGCAAGGTTAGAGATGATTTGATCTACCGCCAGGTTAGCACATGAGAAACAATAATGGCAGGTGCGACTTACCAAGAACCCCGGGGGCAGCTTCTCCAAAGGCGATGTACCGGGAGGGGTCTGCAAAACCTCCATCTCGGGGACCTTGGGTTGGAGAAGCTGCATGGGTTCGGGTTCCTGGGCTTCCCATGCCCAGCCCTTTGCTTGTAGATTTCCGAGTCCACGGAGATCGCTGTAACTGCGGCTCAAACTCTTCCCGCCCAATCGAATCTGCTTCCACCCCAGGAATCCACCGCAAGGACAGCAGAAGTCCGGGGCCTGTTGCATCGGGCTGGGGCGCTCGACCCTGCGCTCTTGATCTGGCTCTTGGGGAGATGGGGCTTGCTGGGTGTCCACGAATGATTGCGCAATTCCTAGATTGCCGATCACGTCAGCCTCTAGCCTGGATTCGCACATGGTCGGTACGTACCGTCCTCTGTATCTTCTTTGATTGAACCGAATGAGGGGCGACGCTGGCTGCTGGACCTAGACCCATCGGGGGTGCTGCAGGGCGAGGGAGAGGACTCGCGTGAGTGGAAGTGATCACCACAGGGAATTGAAGAAAGTCGGGGGAATGCCGGCTTGGGTTGCGAAGCAGTAACGGAGGCCATGATGAAGAGGATGAGGCCCTCTATAAAGGGCCCTAATTGTACAGTGACTAGTCGGAGAAGTACCTTGGAGCAAAATATAAAACAAGTCTACCGAAATTTAAAAATGAGAAAGCTTCAGATTTGAAAAAAGAAAAGAAAAGAAAAACCAACCCTCAAGAGTGTTTGGGAAGTTTAGGGCTCTCAGAGGGGCGGCGGGGGAAAAAAAAAAAGCGAAGCTGTTAGTCACGGAAACGGACCGTCGTTGCACAACTTTGTAGGTAATGGTTTCCGATGGGATTCGCTGGAACTTTGAAAGGATTCAACTAGTGAGACTTTTGGAAGTTTTTTGTAAAGAAGTGAAAAGTTGAAGGTTCAAAAAATGTAAGAAAAAGCACCATGGGTCATGGCCACATGGGGCGAACTTTCTTAATTTTTTTTTTCTTAAACGGGGAACTGATTGATTACGGTGGCGGATCTGTATATGTTGCAAATGTTTTATTTTTATTTTCTCTAAAGATGAAAAAAGAGTAATTGAAAATGAGTAAATGTAGAATTATATGAGTACAAACGTCTAACATACTTTATACTTCCTTATATGACAACTAGACTGATTAAGTTCGTGTTAGTTCCCCAAGCTACCCCTGCAGACCCCATTTACTTTTTTTTCGCATGCGGAAAATGGCGTCACTCGCCGTATTAGGAAAAGGAGAGATAATTACTTGATAAGATATAATTGAATTTAATCCAAAATTATAACCTTGGAAGTAAATAGGTAAAGTATACTCCGAGGCAAGTAACTCGTTAGTTATGGATATTCAATTTTATGACATAATCCAAACCTTTCCCCAATATTGAAAAGTGACAGGTCAGCAGATCTTAATCCGATGCATCCGCTTTGAATACCCCAGAATTCTAGTAGTTACCTAACAATTTGCCCCATGCAGCATTATTACTTGGCCAATTCAGCCATTCGCCTCTGTTTTTAAGCTGATCATGCGGGGATAGACGCGCTATTACCTAATAATAACCCCAAGTTACCACCTGATACTCCTTGAAATTGGCTGATCTGTACTCCGTACATATCCATGTCAATTAAAAACTTCCCGGACTTCCGATGGAGCTCAACTAGCGTCTACCATTCGGATGATACTATTCCATACCTATCTCTCCTTATTACTCTCACCGACTTTGCTTGTCTCTTATGAGCCAAGACAGGTGATCCACGGTTATGCAGTTGATCGTCAATGCCAAGCCCATCGTTTCTCTTATTAAATATGTACACCTCCCCTGCCTGAAAAAAAAAAATTGAAAATTGAAAAACAATGGGAATCTTTCGGATTCTGCCCCCGGTGCATTCTTGTCCTGACCTGAAGTCCCCGGGTTGCTGACTAGCACTGCATCTTTGGTACTGGCCAGGTCCCGAGGGTTGGCAAAGGCTTAGTTCTCGCGCTGCAGCTGAACAACCTGAGAGCAATGCAACCCAGTCCAGTCCCAAAGGTTTGATAGGGTGTTGCTGGCGTCATTCGAGTCACATCTCTCTCTTGAGCTTTGAAATTTGGCCGAAGCACAGCATCGGAGTTTGCTACTTCCGCGGAATTACGTCTGCCGCCAAGGCCTCCCCGCATTGCTCGCCTAAACAAGGAGGTCTTGGTCTTACTCCTTCTCTCCTTCTACTTTTAGGTTCTCTTAAACCAATTCCCAATATTGTCCTCTATGCCTTAACAAGCTCTTTTCAGCAAAGAATGTTACCAGATTATAGCCAAATGGTCCGATTACCTTGAAATGTGAGCTCAATCCCCCTGGTTTTGTTTTTGAATATCGCGTTGCAAGAATCTTGAACCCTCCTTCCTTGATGAACGTTTTTCAAAGCGTTTCCTATTATGCTGACACCCCATTCATGGGAATGTTGAAACCTATGTGGATACTGAATGGAAAAAAAAAACAATGTCATTGTGTGAAACCAATGGCATCCCTTCCGCGAATTTACCTTCTTTTCACAAACTACTTGAACATATGCTGACCATGGCCTGCTCGAAGAAAATCTAGCTTTCGCTTTGATCACCGCATTACCCCAGGCTGGAATCCGGGCCGCGGGGCCCATGGGGGCCGTGTGGGTCAAGAATGGATCGCTAGCTCCACGTAAATTCGGGGCAAAGCTATGAAAAAAAGTGCTTCAACGAGTTACGAGGAAAATATACACAAAGCAAGCGGGTATATTGCTATCGCGCGCAAGAAAACTGTGGGGCTCAAGACAACCCAGGGAAACACCGGTAAAGCGAAAACAATACCCGAAGATGATGCAGCTGTGAGAAGAGATTGGGAATATCTCGGGATGCGCTTGCCATAACGGTAATAAGGGCTTTGAGTAAACATCCATGAGCTGAGCTCAACTATGGATAACATCCCAGTACTAATCAACTATCTAAACTCTTCTGCGCAACCAAGGGCCGTTTCCAATCACGTATTCTCAAAGTCCTTTTCACTTGTAGCTACTCAACAACATCCTCGCTTTGGCAGATAGAACAATGCCACTTGATGTACCCTCGTCTATTTGCCCTGTCTCCACAACCACTTCTCAAACTCATCCGAACCTAACTCCCGAGGCACCTGGTCCTTCAAACTCTTCCATTTCATTGACAATCCAAAACTGTTATGTCTTGTTGGATCTTCCATCAGCCTCTGGATCCTTTTTGTTTCCGGGTTGTTCTCTCCCTCAGCAGCCACTCTTGCTTTGTATGACCGCTCTGCAAAAGCTCTAGCTCGCGCTTGGTCGCCGTGCACGATGCTGATCTGGAATGCATCATAGTAAAGCCTTGTAAGATGAGCACCTGGACTACCTTCATACTCTTCCTCAAGGATTTGGAGAAGGGCCTGACAGTCTTTGAGGCAGCCCTTGGGGGTTTGCAGCACCCGGGACCCATTACCAATCGCGGCGTCAAGGAGCTGGATCTGGCGCCGGCGCTCGTCACTCTGCTGTAGCTCCTCCGGTTGTCTTGAGCAGGTGCGACAATCACAATCGAAGCCGAATGCATCCTTTAGATGACTACGTCGCTCGTCTGAGGGACCCCCATGGTCGTATGGGATAGTGACCTCATCTCCCGCCCTAATGAATCGAACGGCATAGATATTTTCATGTCCCGAAGCACTATCCCAGCTGTTATGTGCGTTAGGCAGACAGCTGTGGTTGATCCGCGAGATGGTAGGATAGATGCCTCCAATGGAAGATTCAGCGCCGCATGGTAGAGCGTTTGTTCGGACAATGCCACTGAACGGCTGCTTTCCCGGGAAGTTGTTATGCAAGGAAAGAAACTGGCGTTGAGCGTCCTTTGGTAGCTTTCGCAGTTCTATCGCAATTTGTTTTTCCATCGTGATTGCACTTGTAACGTTGGAGGTTGTGAACAACGGCTTCTCTGAAATTATCAATTGTCCTTTCACAATGTTGAAGCGTGCGACGAGGCCTTGTCCCTTCCCCGGCACTGGTTGTATTTCGTAAAGTGGATTGAGCTTACTGATTGGATTGGCACTGACCATAAATCCGGCTAAGGTGGCAGGTATTTTCGGTTCGTCGATCTGGTATAGGTCAGAGAGCGGTAGTGAATCACAACATTCTCAAAATATCGTACCTGCTCGTACGATCTAATCGAGCGTTTCACGTCGTCCCAGCTATAGTGACCCGGTATCCCTGAGCTCTCATCCCAGCAATAAGCTCTCGATCCGAACCAGGCACCGGCTACCCGGCTAACAGTATCGATGTAGTTCTTCAACCCACCGGAGTCCTCATTCGAGATCGTTGCGCCAAAACGCAAGAACTTGTGACATTCAAATGGAAGCAGCAGGTTTGGGTCGGACTTGAACGCAATGTAGTTAGGCCTCACTTCGACTTGATCGTCGTTTTGGTAACGCTCTCTGATGCAGCTCAAGAATCTTTCCCAATTGTGTTTGTCTACCAGCACTTGTGATAGGCGTGGAACCATGTCAAAGCCCGTGTAGACACCCATAGTTATTGGTAAAATCTTTGATGAAAGAGAAGTACGACGAGATAACAGAGAACCTACTTCTGAAGGCAGATGGTTGAGTGTAAAGATCTAGGCGTAAGAGAGGAGAGGAGAAGAACTGATGTTTCTGTTGGCTAGTTATATAGCTGGTGGCATCCTGAAAAGGAAGGCAGTACCCAGCCCAATGCGCTGTCCACCACCCCTGCTAAATGTTAGGCCAATATTCGATGGGTACCATTCATATGGTGCACACATATAAAAGGTACTTCAAAGCCAGTATCCTTAAAACATACATATATATACCGACCACGGCGGTTGCTTTGAGCGTTTGCCTAGAGCGTTTGTCCCCAATTTAAGACCATCAAAAACTTCAGGCAAGTAATTCGAGCTTGAGGTGCTCAATATAGCCATTCGTCTCGAAGGCACTGTGCAAGAACACAATGTCTCTCCACTAACCTCTCTTCGCCGCGACTTGTGCGAGGCTGGTGATGGTAGTGAGCGTCTCGATGTTGTCCAAAGTGTGATTTCAGGTCGTTTTGAATGTGTGAAAGTTCATCTACAGCAAACCTGGTGACGTTGGGTCATAGCTCTCCCTCGGAAGAGATATCAGTGGCCGCGTTTTCGTGTGCTAGAGCTATAACGCTATCTTTATAGCTGAATTGCTAACATTGTGCGCCAATGGCTAACAGAGCAATCGCTCAAGTAAAGATTGAACGTCTCTTGAGGATTGTTTTAGGGCAATTATGTCCAATCGTGTTGTAGAGGAGAATAATTGTATGGGAAGAAGGGGGCCACAATGAGAGAATTGACTGGCTGATCAAGGACAGGTTGTCCCCGTGTCCTTTTTTTTGTCCTCGCCGCTATAGATGGGCTCGCATGGAGCCTTTTATATTTGGCCTTGCTCCCTTGACATCCGTTTCTACCAGCCTCAATGCGGAGAGAAACGGAAGTACGGGCGTTTGCCGAATGAGCTTATACTAATTCACCATCGTGGACAGGTGCTCTCCATAGAAAATGTTCCTCTGTTATCCGAAGCTCTCAATTCTGGGAGAAACATGCATAACAAGGCGCTCTTAGTGCCGGAAATACCCTTATTCCCCGACTAGCGTCAATGCAATTCGTGTCGCCCCGAGAAGACGCAGAATATGTCCTAAGCTTTATTGCTGCTGTCCTGCTCAGTCTGTGGAGGAGGCATCATCAAGGTGCGCTATATAGTATCGATAGTGTTTGGACTGGTAGCATCGAGAAAGTTTAGCAAGCTGGGTGGTAGTGATCTCGATGAGAGTCTCGTGAGAGAGCAAGCCACATTAGGCAGCAGTGTTAATCTTACTCCATATTCCGTAAGGAGTAATGTTTGGCTTCTAAGCCTTTCCTGGCAGGGCTTCTTTTGATATTAGTGGCTATTATTGGGCAGCATTAAAAAGTCAGAAGCTTGTCTGATCAAGATTCAGATTCTGAATCCCTAGCCTGAAAAAATGATTGGTTCCAATGCTCTTATTACATGCTATAATCAACATTGATTTAGCTAATGAGAATATGTATCCCGGAGAAATATTGTGAGGCTATCATTATCTATAAGCATTAGGGGTACCTAGGCAACCTTGGAAGGTGTGGTCTGAAGTCTTGTCCAGCACTTTCCTTTTCCCTTTCCTCTTGAATGCCCATCTACATACATTCTGAGACCCCCCGTACTCTCTTCGCCTTCTGTGAATCTCGCTACAATTCGAATAGAATTCGGAATGGTTCTGACTTCGAGTCAGCTCGTGTTCGCAACTTTACCCTCGCGGGTCTTAAACATTCTGATCAGCCCAGGAGGAGATGGAAATCTGCTAAGCCAAGTCGATGATATTTTTCTTCCCACAACTGTACACAAAGAGTTCACATTTTTCTCCTTCGCTCTCATTTCTAGTCAGCTTTTCATGTCCGGCCTAGTAAGCATTGCTCTGCACAGGTGGCCCTCTTCCTTCTTGTTGAATTACCTGATTCTAATTGATTTTTAACAAGTTTCGTTATCTTCTTGGCCATGCAGTAACGACATTTTTGATCCTTGAGATTGCTCGAAAGGATGGGTCTTTCTCGGATCAAGAAAGAGGAAACAACAAAAGACCTCTGACTTTCAGGTCCATCTACCAGGCCATACGTCTCATATACGGTACACAGGGTCTTGACACATTCTCTTATGCATTTGTGATGGCTATTGTTTATCAGGTTACCCATTATGCGATCAGAGTTTGCTTGGAAGCTACAATTTTCGGACATGAATTGCTGATACCACTTGCATACGCCTGCTCCTCTGCTCTCTTATGCAAACTTCATTTGATCTGGACTTGTGCTACTATCTCAGCGCATCCACCTCGACTCTCTTCTTTGAAAAATGCACCCCAACGGAAATGGATACACTTAGCAGTCCCCAGTTTCACCTACGGGATATGTCAAGCCTTGATGAACGAGGTCCAGAGTCTAATGCAAGGGTCAATGGTTTCTTCCGAGGAAATGCCGATATCCACAAGCAAGCGCGCCGGTGCCGAGATTCTTGCAGTGATCATCATGCTTGCATTCCTGTTATTCGGATTACTCCCAGCGTCTATTACTCTCATATTGACCGAAGCAAGCCTTTTACCGGACAAATTGGAAACAACCATTCCTTCTCCGACAAAGGAACGTGGATCAACAATTGCAGAGCTGCTTGGAGGAGAAAAGGCCCCTACAGGACTTGCTGCATTTAGTAGTGCATTGAAGGGTTTCGGCGTGCCTCAGTTTTTGTGGCTGATTGAACTTCATCTGAAGAAGTGTTTTATCCAGATAGCATTCGAGGTGCTTACTATGCAAATTATTCTCGGCATTATTTAACTTCGATAATGACAATAAATGTTTCAATTTGATAGTAGGTCAAATTTGGGTCAATCATACCGATGTTTAATGTTTACTCCATCCCAGTGAAAGTCAGATCAAATTAGGTCCTAGACAACCGGGCTCATAACTATCGAACGATACGGACCACAGTGAGCTAATACGAAATCATGAGAGTGGAGATCAAAAGGCAAAGATGAGTGCAATGTATGGGTGGACGGTGTTGCAACTTGCCCTACTTCCCCGGATAACAACTCAACCAGCGCAAACGCAGAACCCGAGACAATAGTCCCGAGACAACAATCCCGACCCGGTACCTCGTCGCCGGGCCAAGACATGCATACCCGCACAAACGCTGTGGTCTAGAAGCCCGGAGTAGAACATGTGATCTAGAAATGTGTACCTACCCGACTCATAGCGTGCGTGTCTTGGGAGATGTCGGGTAGAGTTGTTTGCCACTTGATGGTTACATACTATGTATGTCTTGTGGCTTGACGAGAAAGAATTTCTTTGCATTTTTTTACTTCTAGTTCCTGGCTTTCCCGAAACATGGTCTAGGCGTGGAAATGTAGAAACCCGATGTGGATTTTTGATATATATGCTGTGTAAATATACCGTATTTAACAATGGCTGGTTTTTATGCGGTGTAAAATTCAATTCTTAAAGTATATTCATACGAATCCATGGATAGAGCTATGCTTTACTACCTAGGTATACATAAGAAAATAATAGAAACGCCGTAGAGCTCTAATGATAGGGGATGATACATCACTATGTCGTCAATGATTCCAAAGTTGCCCTTTTAGTGAATTTCTGGAACAATCGAACCTTGAAATACGAAGATTACATTAAAGAGAAAATTACAGGGAACTTATTCAGGGATTGATGACATTGATGAAATTTGCATGGTATGGTATTGATATGTTGGGGGATATAGCTGCATGCGGAAATGTGTAAAAAACAAAAAGCATCTTCGCGTCATGGCGCAGATGTAGAAGGAATCTAGTCTAAAGGGGAAAAAATTCGAAACCACTGACCATCCATATTGTAAAAAAGTAGGAAGTAAATCTCAATCTTTTCTCAATTTGATAATCCAAACCGAAAGGATATCAGAAGTCCTAGAGCCCAGAACCCAGAATTTCAAAAAAGGCCAAAATTTAAGGGCCACATGCATCAAGTGGAAAATGGAAAGAAAAGAAGTCTATGAAATGACATGATAGGGAAAAAAAAAACAAAAACGCCACGGAAGAAAACCTTCTCAAGCCCAGTATCACATGTTTTTCGAGTTTCGTTTCAGCGTGAAAAGATCGGGGGTGACCAATCAATCATTTTTTTACTCAATAGCGGAGGCACCCTCGCCGTGAGTGACGGGGTTGACCTTGGGGTTCCACTTGAGCTTGAAGTCGGCGCCGAGCTCCTTAGCGACGGCAGCCTTGACGGCCTCGAGGACGTTGTTGAAGACACCGAAGTTGGCAGGGCTGTTGGGGTCGTTCTCGCCCTCCTTGCCCTGGAAGACACCAGTGCGGACCAAGCAAGTGTTCCAGCCGTACATGTTTCCACCGATAATATCGGAGGCGGGGTTGTCACCAACCATGTAGACGTTCTCGGGCAGACGGGAGACGCCGTGGAGCTCCTCCATCCAGGACTTCAACACCTCGTCGGCGTAGGTGTAGGTAGCACGCTCGGGCTTACCGTAAACCACACGCTCAAGGTCGACACCGGTGAGGGTCTTGTACTGTGCCTCAACGGAGATACGGAAGGCACCCTGGGTGAGACGGGGGAGACCCTTGTGATCGGTGGGCATGAGAAGATCACCCTGGGAGAAGTAGATGGGGATGCGGGTGGCGACAGGATCCTTGGCCTTGGTCATGAGCTTGCCGTCCTCGGCGAGCAGGAGATCCATAATGACCTGGAAATCGGTCTGGTAGTCACGGGAATCGGCGAAGACCATGATGGCGTCGAACTTCATCTGGGAGAAGTCGCGGGGCTTGGCCTCGGCGCGCTCGGCATCGGTAAGAGTGGCCCAGGGAGAGATGGTGGGGTCCCAGGCGAGGAGATCCTTGGGGTGAACGACGGTCTTGAAACCGTAGTTCTCGGCAACCTCACGGATCTTGAAGCCTTCACCACCAAGGACCAGAACGGTATCGTAGTACTCAGCCAAGGCCTGCATGGGAGTGTGCGATTGAATGAACTGATCGGTGGAGATAGGCTGCTCGAGGATTTCAGAGAGCTGAGCACAGCGAGCCTCCTCGGTCTTACCACCACCGTTGGTGAGGAGAATGTGGGGGATGCGGATGCCCAGCTCGTTGTCGCCGTTGAGCATCTTGAGGGCGACCTTGGCCTCCTCAATGGCGTGGTTACCGTGTGCCAGCACACCATCGATGTCGAAAGCGAAGGCCATGTTCTTGGCCTTGGCAGTCTTTTCCTTGTTAATATCCTGAACCTGGGAGGCCAAGATGTCCCGGGAGACTGAAGGAGCACCGCGCTGCACAGATGAGAGGCGGGACATGCGAGGGGAGCGGGGGATAGGGAGCGAAGTGCCGAAGGAGTTACGCGAGCCCCGGCGGTCCTTCATGGAGGGAGACAAGCTCAGGTTGTGCATGAATTGAGCGGCATCACTGATAGCACTGCGGGTGGCGGGGATCTCGACGGTGTTGCCGCCGGCCGCGGGGATGGTGAGGCCAGAAGCCTGACGCTCCCGGGGAGAGAGAGTAGCGTGGGGATCCTGTGCGCGGGGATCCTGGGCAGCCGGGTCGACCGCGAAGTCAGAGTCCTCGAAGCGAGGCATGATGAAGGTATTAAATGGAGGGGCGGAAGTAGAAGGGTGGGGTAAGCTTCTACTAGGGAGTCACTGGATTCAGGACTCTAGAAAGATTTGAAGTGAGAAAAGGAGAATGAAAAGTGACTGATAAGGAAGCAAGATGGTAAAGGAGGGATTTGATGAGAGTATATATAGAAGCCATATCTGATACCGGACTCAATGGGGACAAACGAAATTGGTATTTTGCCATTGAGGTTACGAGGGATCCACTCACCGGGTATCATCCCTAGGAATTATCGTCATCATTTGGCAAGATATAGGGTGGACCGTTTCTTGCAATTGAGACAGGCTTGTATAGGGTACCTGCGTCATTGTGGCTGATACAGTGTCTCGCCATGTACCCAGTACACGGGACGTTCTCCTTCCCGCCGAAATTGAATCAGAAAGGTCTTGATTGGATAGGACCAGACTTGCTATGAAGCAACGCAGCACGCCGAGTGGGTAGGAAGGGCCTGAGACGGACGGACGATTGGACTGGAGCGCAGTTCGCCCGTGGACCCGACATGAGATCGATGGAGCCGATGACGATCAGGTCAAACGCTCAAAACTTCGTTGGTGATGTCATGGGAGGTTTGAAAATTACCAGTGGTAATTTTGCTTTATTTTTTTAATTATTCATTTTAAATTATTTTCTTTTCTTACATATTTCACTTCATTTTTATTATATATTCTATTTTCTTTTCATTTTGTCAGGGGATGATCTTCAATTACAGGGTTCCTGATCGACATATAGAAAAGGAAAGTAAGGCTAAGTTGCAATATCTCAATATGTATATACAAATATATATTATTGCATACAATTCAAAATTCAATTGAAAAATAAATTTAAACAAAATTATCTAATTCCAAGGTTCTACCCCTCCAACCCCTCCACCCCACTTCCGGCATCGTCATCGCTCCCTAAGCTTCCCCCACTCTTCTATCTTCTACTTCCAACAGCTCCTTTCCTCCTTCTGTTTTCTAACTACTCAACATTGCAATCATGTCATCTGGAAAGACTTTCACATTGAACAACGGGGTGAAAATCCCTGCCGTTGGTTTTGGTACCTTCGCCAGCGAGGGCTCCAAGGGCGAGACTTACGCCGCCGTCACTGCTGCCCTCAACACAGGCTACCGTCACCTTGACTGTGCCTGGTTCTACCTCAATGAGGATGAGGTCGGTGATGGAATCCGTGATTTCCTCAAGGCCAACCCCTCCGTCAAGCGTTCAGACATCTTCGTGACCACCAAGGTCTGGAACCACCTGCACCGTTACGATGACGTCCTCTGGTCCATCAACAACTCTCTCGAGCGTCTGAAGCTCGACTACGTTGACCTTTTCCTTGTCCATTGGCCCATTGCTGCTGAGAAGGATGGTCAGGAGAAGCCCAAGATTGGACCCGATGGAAAGGTAAGAGAAGCTTACCCCGCAATGAGCACACGAGCTCCTAACTAACACGTTATAGTACGTGATCCTCAAGGAATTGACCGAGAACCACGAGGAGACGTGGCGCGCCATGGAGAAGCTGTATGCCGATGGCAAGGCTAGAGCCATTGGTGTGTCCAACTGGACCATCCCCCAACTTGAGGCGATGGCCAAGTTCGCCAAGGTCCAACCCATGGTCAACCAGGTTGAGATTCACCCCTTCCTGCCCAACGATGAGTTGGTGCAGTACTGCTTCGCCCACAACATTCTCCCCCAGGCCTACTCGCCTTTGGGCTCGCAGAACCAGGTCCCCACAACGGGCGAGCGGGTCAGCGAGAACAAGACCCTGAACGCCGTTGCCGAGAAGGGCGGCAACACCCTCGCCCAGGTTCTGATTGCCTGGGGTCTGCGTCGTGGTTACAGTGTCCTCCCCAAGAGCTCCAACCCCAAGCGCATCGAGTCCAACTTCAAGAGCATCGAGCTCAGCGATGCCGACTTCGCGGCTGTCAATGAGGTGGCCAAGGGCCGTCACTGCCGCTTCGTCAACATGAAGGATACCTTCGGCTACGATGTCTGGCCCGAAGATTCTGCTAAGGGTCTCTCCCTTTAGATTTTGTCTTGATAAATTTACAGAAAGACGAAAATAATACCCCAAAACGGGGAATTTGGGTGGAAATGATTAAATGAACGGACTACGAACCCTGTTAGATGAATTGGACATACCATTGATCTCACTCTCTGTTTCAGCTGTACCGTAAATTGTTCAACCTACTATACTCGGGATGTTTTGAGCCGCTTTTGACTTGACACTAAACACCCAATCTCACACACCGGCTGCCACAGCCTTTCATTCCGTCCAAACCCCCGCCAGGATCCACCTATCAACAATGTTTACATCCAATGAACGAGACGAATCAAAACTAAACCAACCTAGAATAAGATTACACCTAATTTTAAGAGAATAATAGTAATATAAGACAATCGAAAAGGGAAACTCGCAAAATTTGCAAAAGACCCTTTCGGTTGTAACATTGTACCTAACATCCTCGACCAATGAGCAAAGCAAATCCCTCAAACGAGAAGAAAAAATAAGGTAAAAAAAAGAAGCACCCGAGGACAACCCGTAGGGTTACACTGTGCCTGACAAGCTAACACCTTAGTCGGAATATAGTATTACTAAAGCGGCTATAGATGTACATACAACCGTTGTATACATAATTTGTATACTACAATGAGTTTCCAAGGTTCAAAAAATACTCTAAGCGGATAGTACAGGAGCAGTGTGCTCCGAGCCCTGCGGACGATGTCATCTCGCGTTGACTTGTGGCTCTCGGAAACCGCTGCGCCACTCAAGGGGCTTAGCGTTCTCGCGCGCTTACCGCATTGGGTCTTAGCGTTGATGACTACTCTTCTATCCGGGAGATGTCGGATGTGTATTTGGTTATGGAATATCTAGAAATGGGATGAGATACCGATGTCTAACACCGACATGCCGAATAAGGTAATGAGTCTTTGATTGGGTGGTCAGAGCACATTGGTCTTTGTGATTTGTGTACATTTCATTGAATGTTGCTTAGCGCGTGAGTTTTTATTCGCTATTGGTTTACCCTATGTATTGTAACAGTATACTGTTCAATGTTTTTCCATTCGGCCGATCAGTGACGGGATTCAGTTACTTTGTATGTTGGGATTTAATGCCTCATTTCTTTGGTAATGAAACACTTTGACTTTTTATTTGAGACTTTTGCTTCGGGTTCTACGATGCCGAGTGAGATCGGGAATCCCGATTGAGCCGATAGGGGAGGGACTTCGGGGGATTGCATCAAAGTTTGATAACCTGTTTCCTGGCCTATAATAAGGAGGGTCGTGGGTGTTTATGGCATCTATGGCATCTATAGTATACGAATACTGCATTATTGGACTGCACGGTTGGGGTGGTGCAGGCTGATTGAGTATCCATATTGGACATACTCATAGTACAACATACGTAGTCGCTGCGTGGTGGGATATCATATGAGATACAACTGCATCTACAATATACCTGTATGAAAGACGCAAACCCCAGCGCAGTCAACTTGCAGACTTGCTCTGGGCCTTTTGCAAATATCAAAACAATGAGATCAGCATGTATCAGCTATCAGTACGAGGAACAACCTTGGCAGCCACCAATATATCCATTGTATGATTGGAAGGTACAATTGGAGGCAACTCATTTGAAAAAAAAAAAAAAAAACATATGCAAGCCACTGCATGAAGGATCAACGGAACAGACGTGCACCGCTGCAATATTGTCCACGGGTAGAGCCTAGAGCTTATCAATGCGGTTAGGTGCATAAGCTAAGAGCGCGCAAATATTCGTTTCAACCCGAAGGAAGTCAGAGAATGAGAACGGGAAAACCTTCCAAGATTGGAATGCCTCTCCAACAATTCCCGAGGCTTGGAGGGGCAGCGTGGCGCAACGGCACAGACGTCACTCTGCATAGGGCAGGTGAACCGTGCAGCTACAGATCTTATCTTGATCAAGATGAAGTGAAAAAGTTTCAAATTCATTAATGTATACATGAAAGAAAAATGAGAAATTGGTATCTTAAAGCACGAGCAACTCGGATAAATAAAGAGTGTCAGAATGGGAGGGTATAGAAGGACCAAAGACGCAGGGCATAAGAGTCGTATAATGCAATGAGAATCGCAGCATATTTGGTGACAATCAAGATCTCGACCGAACGCGCCGAGCCGTGGGCGTGCACCCTGCGCTCATTTGAAGCATACTCTGTCGGTCTCCGTCATCTGTGCTTTTTGAGCTGCGAGTAGGAATACCACTGACGAAAGCCTGATCCGCAGTGGTATTGGCACCCTTGGAGGCTCGTGCGGGAAGCCTGGACGAGATAGGCGATTTGGGTGCAAGCTTGCGGCGGCCCTTGGTAGGTGTGGAGGGGGCAGCAGCCACGGCGTCCGCCGAGGCTGCCGAGGCTGCAGGAGGCTTGCTTGTGCTGCGACTTCCAGCCTTAACTGGAGTACCAGACCCCAAGATACCCGAGTCACCCAAACGCCTCACCCGGCGTGAGCGTGGGGTTACAGTAGCAGGTGCAGTAATCGGGGCGGTTGGACCGCTCTCGGTGACCCCACTATCGGCACTATCATCTGCCTTTTGCGTTTGGCTACGACTGCTGCGATGGCCGGACTCTGCTTTCTTCGCCGAACGCTTGCTTTCTGGTCGCGGGCGAGGCGTTGCGCCCACGTCATTCGTGCATCGGTCACCCTCCTCTTCATCTTCCTGGTCGTATATTGGTTCTCTGTACTCTTCATACTCGGCCATACGCTCCTCATTCCACGACACATGCTTTCGCGGTTTGGTCAGCCCACGGAAGTTAGTGTCCTTGTGAACTGAGCCCTCATTCTGTGAGTTTTCCAGCTGAAGCTCTTCCTCGCTCGACTGTTGAGCCAGAGCTTCTAGGGCGACCATGGGAGTTACAGATTTGCCCTTGTTGAACCGGGTATTGCGCTTGGTGGCCATGGCCACCTGCTGGGTCTCAGTCCGCTGTAGAAATACGAATTCTGTCCCTTTGGCTCGGCGAAGTGAGATAGTGTTGCGCATGTTAGGGGTGCTCGAGCCCTTGGCACGGGTGCTTCGGCGATATGCAGGGCTTGCAGGAGCTTGTTCTTCCTTGATCTCTTTGGGGATGATATCCTCCTGATCATCGGCACCACGCTTGACGTCATATTTGCTAGGTGAGATTTGCAGCTTGACAGGTGAAGGTGAATTGGTTGTCAGTTCCACTAACACACGGCGTGATGGCGGTGTTGAGCATTCAACTTCTGGTGACTCCCCCGGGCTGGAAGACGTTTCCGTTGATTTCGCATCTTCAGGATGCGTGGCCTTGGCGGCCCGCTTCGCATTTGCTCTGAATAGGAAGTCGTTGAGCAGCTCTGCATCCTCTCCATCCAAGGAGCTTCGCAGTGCCGATCGTACCAGCTTGATCTCCTGCTCTTGCGTCAGGTCTTGCACGGACTCTGTGGTGGACACTACAGTGGTCTTGTTCTCTCCTGCTTTGTCGATCACAGTAGGCGCGTCTTGGCTGGATGGTCTAGACTGTAGATCCTGCACTGTCTTTGCATCGGATGCTGGATCGGTGGCCATAACATCGCCAACATGTTTGGGCGTGCCCTCGGGCTGGTTCGCAGTGAAACCAAACACCTCATTGGAGCCATCTTCATGGATGTTGAAATTGAATTCGGGCAGCTTGCCTGCAAATTATTAGATGAAAGGTCTTTCTCAATGCGGGAACGCAGGATGCAATGCGTGATGTACACGGCTCGCATGATATAGAAGGGTACTTACGTCTTTTCCGAGACGCCTGCATCTCCCATTTAGTCTCCAGGAAAGACCGGCCACGTTGCTCAGCCTCGGTCTCCTGGTCTGCCCCGGGGTCAACACACTGGCGTTTCACGCCGCGCTGATAATCCGAGTTTTTAGAGGCGCCGATCCCCGAGGTCTGGGCTTCTGTCGCCGTATTCATGCCAGTAAACGGAAAGCGAATGCGCTTCCACAGCTTTCGTGTCTTGTCTCCGGCCCGGACAGGCGTCGAAGGTTTGCGATCCCACAGTCGCGGCAAGGCGCTCAGGGCTTTGATAGGCGTAAAACTGAAGGAACTTTCAGTCGGAGGGTTGGCAGAGCTGCTGGCGCGTTAGACAGTTTGTGTTAGTTGAAGTCTATGTGGCGTTGTGTCTCAACGCAAAGGGGGAAAGAGGGGAAGCCAGGAGACCAAACCCCTGACAGGCACAAATGATGCTTTTGATACAAAGGAAACAAATATTGGATCCAAAGAAAGAAAGAAAGAGTTGACATACCATGCTTGCGGCGAGGGAGGGTGGTTCTCCATGTTTATTGACAAGCGTGGAATGTGTCAAAGCCGTTGGAATTCGATTTAGCGAGGTATGAGTAGCTTAGATGAACCAAGTAACCCAATTTATCTAATATAATGCAAGAAAAAAATATGTAAATCAAAGGATGCAACTGAGCGTGTGCCCCTCAGTAAAATGTCGGTTTGTCGTGATGGATGCGAAAGTGAAGCGGGCCGTTGTGGTTTTGCTTTGATGCCCTTTGACCCGTTGCCCTGCCAACGACCGCATGGGAGAGTCTTGGACATGGCGATCACGAAGTATAGAATCTCATTGGAACCTTGGAAGTCGCGTGATGTCTACTAATTCAATTACAATCATTGCCATAGATCAATAAGTGAAAAATTTGCTCTATATCTCGACTATATATCCTGGCCAACGAACGTACTGGCAATCTGCTAGCCATGCTGCAAACTTCCATGGAGGAAAACCCACGAAAGAAAGCAGGTTGGAATCATATAATGACTCAGAGAGTTTTTTGCGTCTCACAGACCTATATCCCTAAATATCTGACGTTTAATGTCTTTCTGGCAAAGCCATCTACAATGGTATCAAGTCATGATGCTTCCAGGTAGCATGGAATGAGCCCAGAGTAGCTTTCTTCTACACTGTGGGGCACTGAATTGAAGCAGTTCCGCCTACAAATATCCCCAACGGGTGAGTAAAGACTGTCAAATCATCGTAGACTATATGTATCCAAAGAACCGCAAGCTTAAGAATCAAGTCGTATCTCATTATTCATATCTTATACTGCTCAGATGGCAGACGGTTTCCGAAAATGCAAAGACTCATAGCAACTTCTCCGCCAAGTCACGTTCATCAAAAGGGTCCCCGAATTCATCTGAACACAAGGCAGCCAGTCAGCACACTACAGAGACACCCATGGAAGGAACACAGCCCAAGCAAAACCAGATAGATATAGAAAGCCACATACCTAGCTTGAAATCTTTATCAACGATATACTCCATAGCGCGCTGGTAATCCTCTTGAGCACGTTTGCTCTTCCACGCCGCAACATTCGACTCAAACGTCTTCTCCGCAGGCTGTCCTCCACTGTGTTCCAGTGCAGTCCCAATATCACCAACAGAGGCGTCAACCTCTTGCTTTGTCTGGGAGCCGGGAGGGGAAAGCTCCGATACGTCAACGCCAGCCGAGGAAGCTTGATTGGTGCCGGTCGGAGTGCGGGCGCCGGTTCTAGTACCGTCGTCGGGGCGGATGGAGTCGACAGAGGAGGTCATTGTAGAGTCGCCGTCTGGGTCTTTGGGGTCTAGTAGGTGTTTGTTAATGGATGTAACTCCGGGTTTGTTGTTTGTAGCAAGGAAGAAGAGGCGGGTGCATATGTGGAGCGCTATCGATATCGCCGGGCCCACTGTGTTCTCTCGGCTACATCGTATAGCTTTGAGGAAATAAGGAAAACCTACCAATCGCCATTGTTAATCGGGAATTGTCAAATGGTTTAGATGGACGAATTTGTAGTTTCAAAAGTTCTCAAACTTCAAGCGGGGAGTGGAGAGAGATCAACGGTCGACAGGCGGTGGCCCCGTCTCGCATGAATTTTCTTCTTCTTTCTTCCCCAGCTATATACTACATGAACATACGAACTATTAGCCTTTGTTATTAGGCTACATATTTTCATTAGATTTGTTTTTGATATCCCTCTCTATTCTCAATCCTGCTCTGTCATTCCGTGTGCAATGAGCGCAAACTCCGGTGCAGTTCCCGATGCCTGGGAAGATTCATGGGAGAACCAAGCAGATGTATGTAATACCAGAGGACTATATGACATTTGAGACAGACACTAGTCTGCCCTTTAAGTCTACTCAATGCTTGCAAGCTATGAATGGCATGCTGATGGTCATCGCTCACAGACACTCGACTCCAAATCTACCCCGCCGTCCGAGAAGAAAGTCTCATCCAAGGTGACCAAGGCGCAACGCAGAGCGGAACAGGCAGAGTTCAATCGCCAGCTATGGGCTGAAGCGTAAGTTGCAATCGCCACCTAGCTCCTATCGCATTTATGTGGGTTGTTCAAGAGACTGAACTGGGTTGCAGCGAATCCACAGAAACATTCCACTTCGTCGAAGCGCGCGCCGATGTCCCCCTTAAGCAAGACTTCAAGCCCGCGGTTACACTATTGAGTCGGAAACCTCAGCTTGTGACAAGACATTCATCATCCTCGAGAACAATTACTGCCGCGGCGGCTGGACTTGGCCGACTCGGACTAGATGATGACGATGACTCGGACGATGACACCAAGCCGCCACAGCCAACACCTGAGGAGCGCCATGCTATTGCACTGAAGAACCGGGAGGAGAAGCAACGGAAGTACGAAGAAGTACGCGAACGTCTGTTTGGAAGCCCATCTGCTACAGCTTCGGGTACCTCGTCGCCCGGCAGTACGACCCCGCCTCGTCAAACCTCTACAGGCGAGGGCAGAGGGAGAGGCAAAGGACGTGGTGGCGGAAGAGATCATCAGAAGAGAGATTCCTCGTCGACCTCGAGCAAATCCAAGCATCTCTACGATCCCTCCACTGCGGCTAAGTCAAATGCACCCTCCCTACAAAGAGGTGGCCGTCCGCAAGTTGAGCGAAGCGGTTCCGACTCTCAGGCTCCACAGCAGCCAGTGCGCAGTCCTCGAGGCCCTGATGCAAGTGGAAGGGGTGGCTTCAATTTCAACAGAGGTGCTCGAACAGGCTAATGTACATTTGGCCAACATCTTCTCTTCCCAGGACACTGGTCATCCGATACATTTCTTTCGATATCAAGGAAGGCCTCGTCCTGCGTTAATTGCATTTGCGACCTGGGATGTGTTTGGACGGTTCTCTGTGACACGAGGTGTTAGCAGTCCCATTGAAAAAAAAAAAAAGGCATGCGATACTTACGGGCATATCGCTCATAGCTGTCGTGGTACAGGTCATCCGTGCTAGTTGTCGCTTGCACATGCTGGTCGGTCTCGATTGCATCCATCCAAGAGGCCAGTCTGCTTCCCTCCTCAGCATCTGGCCATCCTCGGTATGGTTTCAGGACCCGCCGCAGCCGAATGATCCATGGGGCAGCTTGAACGTCCACAAGGGACATACGCGGGCCCATGAAGAAGGGCCCCTTGGGATGCGCCACTTCGAGCAGCTTCTCCATCGCGTCTCGCAGCTCCTGTGTCTTCTCGATCTGTTTCTGTTGATCCTGCTCTTGTAGTACGCGGTAGAAACTCGGCACGATATGCCGATTGACCTGGAGGGCTATCAGTAATGATCACTAGAGACCTGTCTGTCTACTTACATGATCCGCCCACAACCGACAATGGGCACGCAGCTTTGGGTCTGCTGGAAGCATTGCCGCTCCTACGCCTAGATCCTCTAGCTACGATGGATTGGTCAGTGAGGGAAATGGAGAATTGACTATGCGGTTTTCTTACATATTCCAACAACACGTTGCTTTCATAGCACCCCCAGTCGTCGTGCCGCAAAGCAGGAACCAGCCCTCTTGGGTTCACCTCTAACAGCGACTGGGGCTTCTCGTACGGATCCACTTCGATGTATTGGTATGGGATACCTTTCAGTTCCAATGCAATCCATACGCGTTGAACGAAGGGGCTTTAAACATGCAGGCCAGGTCAGTACAAAAAAGCTTTGGCCATAACGAGTCAAATCTGAGGGGATCTCACCAGAAGCAGCTCCCATATAGCTTGAGATTAACATCGGCAGAGTGTTTGATCGCAGTTTCAGCGGCCAGACCCGTCGCTTTTGTATGGTATGACTTTTGGCCTGTTCGAGACATAACTCGGTCCTATTGTTCTGTGTCAAAAGCTGCACAATTCAAAAAGCTAGAAATGGAATCAAAATGAAGACTTGATCTTCGGTATGTGAGAAGTATGAAGTCAATGTAGACTTGTGACGTAGCCGGGATCATGCGGGGATACTTTAAGTTGTGCAAATGAACAGAAAACAGGATTGACATACCGCTCTCGTCCTTTTATCTTTCTTTTCCTTCAGAACGTATCGTTGGACACTACTCTTCTTGACACGATCACTCTCTTCAAGCGTATGTTGATGACCGCCACTCACACCATCATTCTTCCCGTTGGCACCATTGCCATTCACCCGCTGTATGGTGAAATATCTCCCACCATTTGATCCCGGATGATTTGGTGGTAAGCTAGGGTTCGGCGTGAGCATACCGAATGTTTGGACATTTCGGATCGCGGGATCGTCGTTCAGAGAGAAAGTGTACATGCCAGGTAGGATGTTGGATGGCAACGGCTCGACTGGATGGGTCATATTTGATATTTCAGACATTGGAAAGTATTCCACGACTTTGATTTTGACATGGCAGAGATCCCGTTCTCTGGCCGTACGCTTGCGTTTCTTCTTTTCTGGATCATCAGATTTGGGCGTCCCGGGGGTCGTCCTTTGAGTCGACAGTCCCAGTAATGGGAGACGAAGGGTTTACGCTTGTACCGCTGGGTTGAGCGATGAGAGTATACATTGTCAACATGGGGGAAGTAGGTTTGGAATCTGTAAAAAAGTAGGTGCAAGTCAGCCTCTCAGTAGGGTAGAACAAAGCCCGGTAATGGGATCTGCATACTCCTCTTCGCTCAAGGTGATCATTTCATCAACATTGAACAACCTATCTCTCCAGTAATCTAGATGTGGAGGGTTCGGGACCACTTTGAAGCCTTGCAGCTCTCCAGGCCCAGTGAAGGCCACCGGTTCCACGGAGCCAGTATCTAGCTCGATAAAGTCCGGTTGAAACGGTTGACTTGGGGATTGCATCGTTGTTAAGCTGTTACTCTGAGCTTGATGCGCGTTGCTCCCCATAGCTAGCTCGTTTGGGGACAGCGACGCTTGAGGCGGCATTTGTCCCCCAGCACGATGCAACGCCCCGCTTATATTTGCTGCATGGGCGACACCATTGTTGTAGCCCTGCGATTGATGCAAGCCACTGGAGGATTGCCCTTGCGGTTGTAAGTGCGAACCAACTCCATTACTAGGGTGACCTTGGTGCGATTGGAGCTGGGTGGATGAAGACGTGATGAAGTTGTTCGACGCGTCTGGTCGTGGAGGACGAATAAACGCATGTGACGCATTCTGAAGCTGTGATTCGGCTTCGGTCGGGGGACGGAATGGCCCGAAGGGTTGCGATTCCTCAAATTGGCCCAACTGTAGGTTGGATTGGTCATTTATCGGCATAGAAGGCCCTAAGCGGGGCGATGAAAGTGGCAGCTCAGAGTCCATCTTGTAAACAACCTCGGAATATTAAGTTGTGGAGAGGCGTGCTGCTTTTGAGGGGAAGAAGGACGGTTGAAGCGGCGTTGTGGGGTTAAAGGAAAGCTCGGATCATTATGAGTTTCTCAGGTACAAACATGTTTGGAAATTTATGAGTTCTCTTTTTCGAAATAATGATACATTTATTCTTTTTCAAAGATTAGGACATCGAGATATTATCATTTATTCGCATTGAATCCGTGCAATATTGATTCCAATGAACAGCACTTCGAGAGCTTACAGACCCTTGCCATGTTTCTTCGCTGCCTCCGAATTCTTGAAAGGATACCCCGTCGTTCTCTTGTCTGCACCCGTACGGCGACTGATCCTCCCATGGCTGCTAGCAAAGAGCATGCACCACAGCCCAATGGCCGCAATACTAGAGTATCCAGCGACACCAACAGTAAAGAGACCCGATCCACCAGAAACGTACCAGGTATACGCATAGAAAGCACATGCGCTATGGAAGATGGAGGTCACTATCAGAGTTGGCACAGCGTATGGTGCCTTGGGATCGTCCTCCTCTGCTGTCACAGACTCCTTGATGTCGGATGTCAGAGGAATGGAGCCGGTTAGCATCACGGTCAAAACGGCGATAGTAAGCAGGCTGAAGCCGAAGCATCGGGCGAAGTATAACTCCATGGCTTTTGGAAGGCGAAAGGTTAGCATGACTCCTGAGTGGGTGCGCGCGGCACTTCAGGAGGTGAACCACATACGGGAAGCAGGCCGAGTCTCATCTAACAACATGGTGACGATCATGCTTGGTCCGAGAATCAGAGGTAGACTCTGAAGCAACAGCCATGCGGCCGTCGAGTATGTGTATGCGCGAAAGACCTGCCCAGTTAGTTTTCAGGTCCGGTTTCGAGGTCTATCTTCCATTAGAGGCAGCAAGAGTATTGGCTCACATCCATGATGGCAGTTCGCCGGTGTGGATTTCAATGATACTGAGGTCTTGCGATGTTGAAGTAGCTCGCGTTTAAATTGGTCAAATCCTGAGAAGACAGAGCTTCCAAGCGATCTTTTTTAAGGCTGAAGCATTATAAGCAAGTGACGTCATGCAGGTACAGCGCTGTTTGACTTGTTTGCAATTCAACCTCTACTACATATCCCAGGTTATGGAAAAGTCGTTTTCACAAATTAGATCCCTAAGGAACATTGGATTATCCTAAAGACATATGAACGGAATATCTGAAAGGATCGTTGAATAGACATCACAAGGCCGCTTATGCGTCCAACTACTATTGTTACTATATCAAGACAAAAACAAAGCTAGATCAAAATGATATTTGATTACTCTAATATATTGACTAGGATGAATACAATGAATAAATGCGCCTCTAAGACCACAAACACCTTTAGACCGAAAGACCCCTTTTAAAAACAACCGAGACTCATCAAATGCCAACTTCTGTTTCGTGAGAGATGTCTTCACTGTTGCATGTTGCTCGCGCGCAAATATCTTGTGAAGCTGTTGTCCTGCTCCGTTGGAGCGCTTTGGGAGCCTGCCAGAGCCTCCTGGTAACGCTGGGAGAGACCGTCGTCATTGTCAGCGTGGGGGCCCACGTAGTCCTCGTAATCACTGTCTTCTCCATCTGCCAACCCGCGCTTGATGATCTCGTCTTCTTCATCTTCGGCTTCGCTGACAGTCTCGGGCTCTCCGGCAGGTTTCCTTGGCGGCTGCCGGCTTGACCCAGACACATTCATGTCTTTCATTAATTTTCCAAGTTCAAGCTCCTGCTGGGAAGATTTTTGATCTTCCCGCTCTTTCTTCTTGCGCTCCAATTCGGGCTTGTAATCACGTTCAAACTCCTGTCGCTTCGTCTCCACGGCCTCGAAGAACTCTTCGACACCATCGCCGGTCATTGAGCTGACGCCAACGACGCTGAGGTGTCGATAGAATTCCTCCAGCATGAGACTCATGCTGTTCAGAAGGGAGCCCATGTATCCACTGCCAGAACCAAAACCACCGGCACCACCTTCAGCACCAAAGGCACCTGAGTCTTCCTCTTGGCGCAGAGCCTGCTGGAATGCATCAAAGTCGGTCATCCATTCCTTAGCAAACTCGGCATCCTTGACGTCAGTCTTGTTGAAAACCAAGATCATGGGGAGCTTGGTCTTGTACAAGATACTGCATGCGTAGAGCATGTTGCTCATAAAGGTGCTGGTGGAGCTTGCGCGAGGTGTATCGATAACATATGCGATGACTGTCGGGAAGGATGTCGCCATAGTCTCGAGAAGGATACTGCCCGATGCACTCCAGACAAAGACTTCAATTTGGCCAGGTGTGTCGACCAAAATGTGTTCGATGGGCTTTGCGGAAGGGTTTTCGGGGTTCGGGGCGGTGCGTTTCTCCAAGAGTGAGATGATTTGATCGACCTTGGTGGCGAACAAATTTAACGAAGTCAAAATGCCTCCATTGGGACCCAGGTTGTACTGTTTCATCACTTCTTTGTAATTAATGGAGTCACGGATATCGATGTTGCTCTCGAAGGGCACCGAGTGCACCGCGGGGTCAAGGTTGACCACATATGGCACGGTCTTCTTTTCATGCAGATAGGAGTTGATTCTTTGCATGAAGGTAGTCTTTCCTGAGCCTATTCAATCCAAAATATTGACGATTAGATCACTGCAGATAAGTGAGGGGCGATCAGCAAATCAGCATCCTTACCTGCCATGCCCACGCAGACCACGGACACCGGAGACGGCATGGTGGAGGTGGTTTATAAGAAAAAGAACCGATTAAGCGATTGAAATGCAGAGACTTCTGTGGTTGAAGTGTATGGTTCAAGAGTGGAAGACAAGTGAAGAAAGATAAGCTTCTTTTTTCTGCTCGACTTTTTTTGTCGCGGGGAAAGATCTACGGCTGGACCGCCCGGCATTTTATAAACGTCATTCCAACTTTTTGCCCTTTGCTTCAGCTCCATCCATTTTTCACCCATCAGGAGCACCATGACTCTAGAAGACTTTGAAAAGTCATTGGCAGAGGGGAAAGAGGAGCGACACGAAAAAAGTGAAGGGCGACATCATCGAGACCGAAACCGCGATCGCGACCGCAGCAAAGAGCGCTCGGGACACCGTCATCGTTCCAGCCACCATCACCGGCGGCATTCCTCCAGATCCCGCGATCGGGACAGCGAGCGAGCTCGTGAATCCCGACATCGTGACGCTGATGGCCACCGGCACAAGCGTTCACGTCGTTCCGACGACCAAGGAGACGATCATGGACATAAACGCCATCACCGGAACTCCAAAGACGAAGGGGCATCCGCTGCTCCTCCAGTAATAGTACAAGAGGAGCCCAGTAATCTGAAACGTGACGCCTGGATGGAAGCGCCGTCGGCTCTCGACGTTGATTATGTTCATCGACCGGATTCGACGCGACAGGAGGAGCCCAAACCAATAATGCTTTCAGCAGACTACGAACTCAAGATCCACGACAAGGAGCTCAACGATCATCTACGTGATCTCAAGGATGGAAAAACAGTCGAAGAAATAGAAGATGAGCCTGCCCAGCACGAGGTGGACTATACCTTTGGGGACTCTGGGTCACAATGGAGAATGACGAAGCTCAAAGGTGTATACAGAGAGGCGGAAGAAAGCGGCAGGCCTATTGATGATATTGCTATTGAGCGTTTTGGAGAACTTCGCGCTTTTGACGACGCTCGGGAGGAGGAAACTGAGATTGATCGGCGCAAGACGTATGGCAAGTCCTACGTGGGCAAAGATAAGCCTAGCGGGGAGCTCTTCCAGGAAAGGAAACTCCAAAATGATATTCGAAGAGATCCGCTCGAACATGTTCGTGATCCAGAGCAAGAGGTCAATGCCGAAGGCCAAGGCAAGAAAATGGATACTGTGCCTCCCCCGAATACTACCCGCCACCTCGATATGACGGCATTGAATCGTCTGAAAGCCCAGATGATGAAGGCAAAACTCAGAAAAGCACCAGATGCCGCCGCTCTTGAGGAGCAGTACAATACAGCAGCAGCAGCAATGTCAAACGGCAAGGAATCCGACGTCGTGGTCCTTGATGTTATGCATAATCGCATGCTAGCAGGTTCGGGGAATGAGGTCAAAGCCATCGATACTAAGAGAGGTCGGGAAAGAGGTCTGGTGGAAGCAAATGAAGATATGAGCATTGAAGATATGGTGCGAGAAGAGCGCAAAACCCGTGGCCAACTCGGCGGAGAGGGCCGGCGCTTGGCGGATCAAATTGGTCGTGATGCCAAGTTTGAGGTCAGTCCTAGTGTTACATGTGATGACACCTATTTCCCGTGCTAACCTATGTCTAGAACGATTTGGAGTATATGGACGACAATGCATCCAAGCTGGCCAAAAGAGTTCATCGATCTGAGATTGACCTCAAGAACACAACGATCAATGACTTCCACAAGATGAACCGGATATTGGACAACTGCCCCCTTTGTCACAACGAAGACAAGGGCACGCCTCCACTTGCCCCGGTGGTATCTCTCGCGACCAGGGTCTTCCTCACACTTCCTACCGAACCCGAGATCAGTGAAGGAGGTGCTACTATCGTTCCAATCCAACATCGCACTAATTTAATGGAATGCGATGACGATGAGTGGGAAGAAATCCGCAACTTCATGAAGAGTCTCACGCGTATGTACCACGACCAAGGTCGAGATGTAATCTTCTACGAGAATGCAGCCCAGCCGCAGCGCAAGCGACATGCATCCATGGAAGTTGTGCCTTTACCCTACAGCTTAGGAGAGACCGCGCCCGCATTCTTCAGAGAATCAATTCTCAGTGCTGAGTCGGAATGGTCGCAGCACCGCAAGCTTATCGATACCCTTGCCAAATCAAAGCAAGGGTTAGGCCGGTCTGCCTTCCGCCGAACTCTCGTGAAGGAAATGCCCTACTTCCACGTTTGGTTTGAACTAGACGGTGGTCTGGGTCATATTGTGGAAGACGACAACCGCTGGCCTCGTGGAGATCTCTTTGCCCGTGAGATCATAGGAGGAATGCTGGATGTTGCGCCAGACGTCATCAAACGACAAGGACGCTGGAATCGTGGTGATCGCAGGGTTGATGGATTCAGAAAACGCTGGAAGAAGTTTGACTGGACCCGCATTCTGGTCGAAGGCTAATGAGCCTGGAACTGGCCCCTCAACACACTGTATTGTACACATATGGCTAGACACAGCTCCTTGAACCGTAGCGAGTCTCATTTCGAAGATTGAAGATACCAAGTCGCCATGGTCTCGAACCTTTTTTTTAATCCAAGACACAATATCACACTAGACTCAAGCACTACTCGTGGCTAACCTTTTAGTATGTCAACAGATAAAGACATCGGCATTCAAGCCGGTGGCTACGGTACGATGCACCGATTACTCCGCAGTTGAGCAGAAGTGTATCTTCTCATGTTGAACCGGTGATTAGCATAGCCAGTATCAGTTTCGGGATATTTTGAGGATTCATTATTCATAACAATAGTATGGATAGGAGACGGTATCATCGGGTTTCTTCCCTTTCACCTCATATACTCTTTAGAAACATTGAAGGCATGCGGAGACTTGCCCGATAAGCGTGGGGCACTTTTCCTCCCTCTCGGCCGATGTTTAGTATAATTTATGAGGTTGTGACTCTTATTGACTTAAATATCCCTCTTGGATTCTGTTCCTTTGAATCTAATTGTGTCTTTAGATCCCTCTCGCAACAACCAGGTCAATTGGTGCCTTGATCAAACAGCCTTGAGTTTGCTTATCGGTAAGTTCAAAATATATGTCAAGAGAAGG